TGTGCAATTTTATATCCTGATCATACCTGGTATCGGACCCTGGTCTGGATAAAGATTGTTCTGGCCTTTCTTCTACCACTCTTTGTCATCTCTTGTTGCTACTGTGCTATTGGTAGACATTTGTTGGTTGATACGGGGTTGGTAAGAATGCAGAATCTGTCTCACCCACACAGCATGTCATCCTTTAAATCACTACAGTCCCACGAGGGCTATAGTAAACCGGAGAGACCCCCCACCCCTTCTGTGAATCCCAGCTCAAGTGGAGCCAGACCCCTGGAGGGTAGGGGGCTTGAAAGGGTATTGTGGACAGTAGCTGCAGTGGTTCTGGCATTTTTCCTCTGCTGGTTCCCCTTCCACTGTGTGACCTTTTTGGATGTGCTCCATAGTGAAGGCTGGTTGGACAGGTGCTGGGTAAGGTGGAGCATCCAAAACCTCACTCCTCTCACACTCTGCCTGGGTTTCTCCAACTCGGCCATCAACCCTGTGCTCTACTGCTTCATTGGGAACCATTTCCGTGGCCGTCTAGGAGGCTTATGCAAGGGCCTGTGTGCTTGTTTAAAGGCCCGAGGGGAAGAACACAGCCAGAAGAGGGGCTCCTTCAGCACCAGGCTGAGCTCCTTCTCTCGAAAACTCAGTGACCTCAAAGACTTGGCGACTGTGGAGCCCTCTGGCTCTGCGTACCTGCCCCAATTCCCAGCCCTGACTGCAGCAAGGAGACTTTCTCATCCCCTCAGTGATAACTGCTGAACACCAATGAGCGTGGCTGTGTGAGATGTGTGAGTTGTTACTAAAACTAAGTCAAATTCTAGCAGAGGTCATTTCTGCTTTACAAAAAATAACTGTAGATAAAACATTTTTTCCACACTTGATTTGGACAGTCATCAAGCATCTCTTGTGAGTCACTCACATGATGTCATTTCTGGCTGCAGCAGGAATCATTTTGGAAAAACAACATTGTCAAAACTTAATGTACAGTACCTGATAAGAACCAAACAGCTGACAGACACAGTTTGTGCCTAGCAACTGAACAGAGTGGCGCAATTAGCAGCTAATGAAGAAGATATTCCCCCTGGAGTTGCTAGAAACTACAAACAAAGCTAAAACATAACAAATACTGCATATGAATTCACCATCTGGATATAAACACAAATCTAAACAAATGATCATATCTCTGTCCATAGCTGCTGTATATAAAGATGATTTATTCACAGCTTGTTTTATAGCCTCGCAGAATAAAAAAAAATCTGTTAGCTATAAGCAGCGCAAGCTACATCTATGCTAATTTAAGATTCTTAAGCATTGCTTTAGTTTTTATGTTCCTCTAGCCCAAATTACTATGAAATATAAGAAACTACATTGTGTTGCTGTGTTGCTATGTTGGGTAATCAGACCACATTATTTAAAAAGTCTAGTTGATAATTTAGCATTAGCCTAGGCTAGCTCTAGACATCTCACTAGCTAGCATTAATTTAATAGTATGCTTTTAAGTGTGGTTTGTTCTTATACAAATGTTATATCTTATATTTTTCCCATTTCTCATTGTATAATAATATTTTATATTAAATTGTTTTTTTTTTTAAAGGAAAACAAGCTAAAAACAAATACATTAATTTCACAAAAGGGTCTACTTTTCCGCTTTTTGGGGGACCAAAGTATCATATGTGTACTTGACATTTATCTGTATGTATTCTGTAAAGACTTGGGAAAAGAAATAAAGCAAAAACCACTTTCCATATGCCACTTCCTTTGCTTGATACAGTTCTCCAAAATGACTATGCCTTCCGTTTTGTGAAACCCGATCAATTTACTAGAGATTTCAAATGTTCCTTTTCCCCGTCTTACCCTCTAACAGCTGTGACTCCGAGCTTTCCCCACCTGGGAAAATGAGAGCTGAGATTACTGTCAGCCTGGCAGATGGACATCCAGTCTCCCCTTCCAGAAAGCCTCACACAAATTCCGCACATATCAAGGCCAGATATCATAATCTCATACTAATATCCTTATGATGCATTCCAGTCCAGCCGCTTGTGTTGGTTGAGGGAGCCTGAAGCTGATCAATGATATATCTCTGCCTGCTATTTGTGTCCAGTATAGATTTGCTGCATTCTGCATTGACCCTGGGCTGTCTCTCTGTGAGCTGAGAGCCAATACAACATGGTGTAATTTTGTTCCGGACTGGTGGTTGCAAGGAATTTTTACAAGCAGGAAAGCTAAATTAATAATCACTGAAAGGCTTTATTATGAATAAATGGTAAATTCTTCTTTTCTACCTTGAATGTTTTTTGGGGAGCGGGAGGGCTGCTAATAAATAAAGTGAGTAAAACTTCTTCAGTCTACTTGAAATACATGAATATTTCTGGCTTTTTGCCACTGGGTGGCGCTAAAATGCTGCAGAATCATTGAAAGAGATGCCATTGGCTGCTAACCCAGTCAAAGGCCCAAAGTCCCACTGCTCATGATCTTTCTGAGCCGAGGGAAAAATGGCTCTGACACAGACTGATGACTCATGTAGGCTACACTTCTGAATGTATAAAAACAGACACCCGCGACAAAAGCCGCATTAAAGAGAGCCACCCGCTTGGAGAATACGCTGAATGCCAGAGTCACATGGATAACCTTTCTGAAGGGTTTTTTCTTGCAGAAGCTTTTTGGTGATGTGAAGGACACCATGCGGTCAAGAACAGCATTCAGTCCTGCAAATAAAAAAGCCTACATCTGAACATGACAGATGAGCTCAGGGTACCAGACGCCGTGCTATCAGCAAATTGACGTTTCCTGTGGTAATGCCACCGCAGTAAACATTGAATATTTTAATCACCAGACTCTTAATTTGACACGACAGAACTTTCCTACTGATGGGACAGATTGCTGGATGAGTTTGTTGTAAGCGCAGCTTCATTAGCTGATTCCTCGCTCTTCTACAGAGCAGGTGGGAGTGTCTTTGAACACACGTTTAAGCAGAAGACAAACTAAGAGATATGTGGCTGAGGAGATGTGTGGACATGTGATGAGAAAATGCATGCTGAGAAATACCGAGAAGCACATTGCTTCGGGTTTTTTTTCTCCCTTCCTTTATCTGCTTTAAAATGTCTTCCTCTGACATATCAGTTTAATTCAGCTGAACACCCAAGTGCAAATTAGACTTTTCTTTCTTTTCTTGTCTTCTCTTTATGTGTTCCATTACAAGTTAAAGTAGAGAAATAATAAGAATTGCTGAGATTTTTTTTTGCCACGCATCAAAGGGAGGCAGGCCAGTGGTGGGAAAATAGGACGAATCTGCCCCTTTATTAAAACTTTAAAAAGTTTTAACACATCATGTCACATAAACTTGTAGGTGGAAGGCTTGTTGGAAAAAACGTCACAGCGAATCTAATCTTGAAATATTGTCATTTGAATCTTGAGCATGTTGAGGTGGCAGTTAAAAAGAAATATTCTGAGGAGGTTACAGCTCCTGGTATCAGGAAACTTGGATATGAATTTAAAAATATTTCTAAAACAAACTAGTGAAAATAAGTGAGAATAGCTGCAGTGCACTGCTGTGAGCTGTATGTAGTTATTATTTTGAACTACTTTATAGTTCCACTTTTTGCAGTAATATAGTCACTGGCCTCTTTATTAGGTATCCTTTGTTAGTACCACGTTGGACCACTTTTTCCTTTAAAACTGCCTTAATTCAATGAGGTGCTGGAAACATTTCTCAGAGATTTTGGTCCATATTGGCTTGACATCACACAGTTACTGGAGATTTGTTGGTGGACCGCTGTGATGCAGATCTGAGCTCACTGTCATAATCAAGAAACCTTTAATTTTTGTGAGATGTTATCCTGCTTGGGTGCACTGTGGTGCAGATGGACATGGTCAGCAACAACACTGAAGTTGGGTGAGGTGTTGAAATGATGCTCAGGTGGTACTGAGGGGGCCAAAGTGTGCCAAAGAAAATACTTCCCACATCATTACACCACCAGCAGCCTAAACCACTGATACAAGGCAGGATGGAGTCTTTGCGTTATGTTGTTTATGCCAAATTCTCGCCCTACTGTCTGAATGCTGCAGCAGAAATAGAGACTCATCAGATAAGATAATGGAAGCTGTGGTCTTCTGCTGTGTTTCTGCTGATCTTAGATCAGCAGAAACACTCAGATCAACCTGTGACACCAACAATCACCCCACATGCAAAGTCATTTAAATAAACTTTCTTTCCTATTTTGAAGTGTTTAAATTTAGAGGTTGTCTTGACATATTCTTCATGCTTAAAATCCCTAAATGAGCAGGTGTACTTAATAAAGTGGCTGGTGAGTGCATACATAATGTAACTAGGCATCAGTTATGTTGACAAATTTATCTGACATTCCAACAAATTTCACAATTACACTAAAAACAGAAAAGATTTGAGAAATTAAAATAGTTGTTTCCATTTTTAATAAATCGTCTAAATGTGTAAAAACAAGCTTGAAACTTTTAAAAGAACAGCTGTGTTATTTTCATTTGTTAAATCAATTTTGTTGCGTATTATTTATTGCATTTATTATTTTTTATTTAATTAGGAATTTTAAATCATTCTGATATATTCTACATGTTTTTTTTAACAAGCATGTATAATTAAGGATCTGAGCACATCTTCCATGACTGCCTACATATTGTACCACACAATTCATAGAAGTTGTTTCAGAGCCATAGAGTCTGAGCAAACTTCTGCTGACAAGAAACCAAATTGAGGCTGGAAACAGTGCACGTTAGTGCATCATCACAGCATATGTTTTTCCTATGTGAAAAAGGGCAAGATTGCTTCACTTCATCCCTCTGTTGTGCTTTCTTCTGTTGTGGAAATGTTCTGTTAGAATCTTTTATGTTATTTCCTGTCAAAAAAGAAAGAAAAAATAGTATCATTTCCTGAGAGATAGACAAACCCACACTTTACTTGTGCGTGTGTGTGCGTGCTCACATGTGTGCGTGGTATAAAGAAAGAGGAAGACTGTAAGAGCCAACCCAGAAAGGTTAGAGGTTAGTGAGAGAGCTGCTATCACTGTAGGTAAACAAGTGTAGAGAAATCAGAGAGCTCGTACGCCAAAGCTCAGGCTCCCTGAGCAGATATTTGAACTGGTGAGAAGCGGGGATCGAAGGAGAGGCTAGACAGCTTGCCTTACCTGTGTTCCCAGTCCAGAGCATATCCAGCAAAGGCAAGAAAAAGCTTTCCTGTAGTAAAGAGGGGAAAAAAGGTAAAGTGGGGAAAGAGACACTTTGGGAGCAGAAGAAAAAGAGCATCTGGGGGAATAACTGTGATGGAAAACCTGCCCGTCTATCACGGACCCATCGGCAAGGACGAGGGAGAAAGGCGGCTGGGCCAGGACGGCCGAGACGGGTGCTACCTAGTCCGCAACAGTGACACCGTGGAGGGTGTCTACTGCCTGTGTGTGCTGTGAGTACAATCAAAGAAAAAAGTGCAACATCTGCTTTTGTTCTACTTCTCTAGGCTGAGACCTCATAATCATATCAACACATACAAAATCCTATTTTGTGCTGTTATAGAGATTATCGATCCCCTCACGTTTAGAGAGAAATGCAAGCGCAAAGGCAATACGGCAACCGGCTGAGTAATAAGTAACTGTGGTCTCTTAATAAGCATCAAATAAAGATTCCCAAAAGGAGAAGTGATAGTGACAGTAAGAAGAAACACTGAAATACAAACCCATGTTTTTGTTTGTGTGTGTGTTTGTATGCAGATGCCAAGGATACGTCTACACATATAGAATCCACAGAGATGATGCAGGCTCATGGGCAGCAGAGGTAGGACATTTTACTATTAAGATTTCTTTTTTCATCCTGCGTCTCGCTCTTTAGTCTGTGCTGTGCCTCTTTTCACTCCCTCCCCTCCCCAGAAAAGTTCGCAGAAGCAGCTGCACACATCTGCCTCGCTTATTGGTTTAGAAGTAGTTTTGGTGCTGGTTGTAATTCAACAAGCTGCGGAGGCACAAACATGTGTTTAGTTTTTTTGAGGAGTGACAGCACTGAGAAATGGGTACGCTTCTGCTTTAGCAATAACACCCAGTGAAATTCATCTCCCACCAACCCCCACCTCAAATTTTGAAGATGCCACAGCATCAGCATATACTCCAGAGACGGGGGTGCAGAATTGCATTTGACAGCATTTCTGATGGGATGTGTAATTGAGCGCCGAGGGCTGGCGAACACCCCGGGATTGGGAATGTATAGAGACATCTGAAGGCCGCGTCTATCTCCGACTGAGCGCGACACTCTCGTAGCGACATTTTAACCTCGCTCATTCTCACTGATGCCGTCAGGCGAGCAGATGGGGATGGATTGAGGGATTGAAGGAGAGCGGTGTGCATGTGTGTGCATGTTTGGGTTTCGGTGTGGAGGCTTGAATTACAAGAATTTCTCTACAAGCTCGATAACAGTTTCCATTATTCATGCGCAATATCAATCACTCTAATGAAATATTCTCGGGAGCAGAGGTAACACTTGTGGCCGGAGACAGGAAACATCCGAAGTGCTGTGCTGGGCGGGAGAGCTCCCCACATTTGATTAAATGATGTTTTTTTTTCTTTAAAAAAAAAACATATAAAAAGAAAACTGTTTTCACCGTTGTACTTATTTATTTATTTATTTATTTGCAGTTTGATTGATGGGGCCGAATGAAAACACATAATGTATTTTTTTTTAAAGGCCTTACTTGACAAAATTATAGCGCTGTAGTGGTTTAGGAATATTAAACGCTGGAGTGACAGCTGTGGGCAAACAAACAAGTGCAGGGAGGGAGTGGAAAGAAAAGGAAAAGAGAAAGATTAGAGCGTTTTCAATTAGAAATAATGCAAAGCTCCCTGTGAGAGAGAAAAATGACTTTACTAAGCTATCATCATTTCTTTAAAAGATATTTGTGTGTGTTTTCTAAGTTTTATTTCAGTGCTTCTCTGTTACAAATACGGCTCTTGAGATTACTGGACTGTTAAAGCATCTTGTGGTGCATTAATCCTAAAATAATGCTTCTTATTGACTTAAAAACTATCTAAAATACCCACAGGAGAGGATGTTTTCATAGGTAATTGCATCCCGTATATTCCCAGTGTAGCTTTTAAACTCCTTGAGTAGATCATCAGTATGTTTCCCTCCCTTCCACAGCACGTGGTGTTTTTTTTTATAGCTCTTATATATATTTTATCTCTTCTGCCTCGTCTTATTTATTCATCTGTCCTTTTACTTTGGATTACTGAATCCAGATATGCAAAAAATGTATAATTGACACCATCCCCAGTCCATCCCCACGACGCACTTGTATTACTGCCTCCACTGGCAGCATATCTGATGTCTTTTTATAAGGTAAAATCTGCGAGAGCTCATTTCAAGGCGGCTCTGTCCCGTCCTCTTCATCCCCCCACTGGGGTTTTGATGTGGAGATGGGGAAACGCTTTGAATTCTCTGCACTTCTACTTCTTTTCTCTCTCTCTCTCATGTTTCAGACCACTCCTGGTGTGCAGAAACGATATTTCCGGCAAATCAAGAATTTGATAGCAGCTTTTCAGAAGCCTGGACAAGGAATTGCCATGCCTCTGCTCTACCCTGTCACCGCTCAGAGACGGGCACAGACACACACAGAGGAGTCCGGTAATAGCCCGTCGACGACGGAGAGCAGCCCGAACCCTTACTTCCAGCAGCGGATGCCACATGCTGCACAGGGACAGAAAAACAGGAACAAGAAGGAGGTGCGACAAGCTTTTGGTTAGGGGCGAACCCTAAGCTGCACCACTGACCTCATTTCTAAGCAGAAATACTGCCAGGGCACCATTCCTGCTGTTTGCGTTTTTTGCATAATGTGCATCAAGTAAATGTCATTCCCCCCCCCTATTTGCTACATTGAGCTCATTTAGGCTCCAGCAGTGACTCAGATCTCAGCCTCCTTCTACTTCTTTTTTTTTTTTTGCATATGCAGCACAGAAAGTGCCCCCCCCCCCTCCTCCCCTCTTAACTTTCTGGGATGTAAAAGATTCAGCTGCAGAACCATTAATATCCATTACCGCATACATAAGCTGACAACAAATATTGTGCTCTGTTTTCTTAATGCAATAGAGTTGTGTGAGCGGCAAAGAAAATAAATGATATTGGCTGAAATAAACTCTTTTAAATAAGGTCATGCACACACAGCCGTACACACCCGAGCCTGCGTTTGACATAATGCTGAGGGGAAAGGAGGGGGGGAGAAAAAAATTCAATTTGACATATTGGAGTGCTGATTTCCACAGAGAGAATGCTGACTACTGGTGTGTGTGCATGCGTGTGTGTGGGTCCATCATTCACTCGTCTGATTGGCATTACATGATGAAAAAAAAAAATGAGAGAGAAAGAGGAGCTGAAAGAGGAGAGCATCCATTCAGCGCAGACAATTCTTCAGTGCAGCGGTCTCCTAGCAACCGGACCCTCCATCTTTTCACCGCGGAGATGAGGTTGGACAGTATCTAACGGAGCATATGGTTTCGAAGGGAAGGTGCATCGCGGCCGATCGGCAGAGTGCTAGTCGGGAATGTATATCACCTGCTCGCAGTCAGAACATATGCATTGTGTGTGTGTGTGTGTGTCTGTCATCCGCGGCCCGGGAGAGGAAACACAAACAATTAATGGTGGGCAGATGGTGGAGCGACGGCGGGAGGCGAGTGTGTGTGTGTGGGGGAGGCGATGGGGGAGGCAGACGGACAGGGAGGTGGATTAGCAACATTTAAAGAAAAAAAAAAGTTCTTTACTTTCTTTTTTAAACTTTTTTTTGTGGGGAGAGGCTTGGAAGTGGTTCACATGTAGTCTGATTGGCATTTCCTAATGAGAGGAGACAAGCTGGAGAGAACAGCACAGCCAACTCCAGGTCCTGCCCCTTCTGCACTCACCACCCACTCGCTGAGCCTCAGCTGTCACATTTCTTTTTCCCTTTCCTCTGTGCTTTTCTTTTTTTCTTTCCCTCTTTCTCCCCTCCCCCCCTTTCTTCTTCTTCTTCTGCTCTCTCTCCTCTGACAGACGACGCAGGTTTTCTCGTGCATATCTCGGTTCGAGCCATAATGATGGGTGATAATGACAGCACAGATTTGAAAAGTTACAAACTCCCAGAAACAAGAACAAAGAGAGCACAACAAATGTGTGGCAGGGAGGCGCGGAGACGACGTGAACGAGAGCGAGCGGAGGAGAGGGGCAGAAATAATAAGTAACAACGTCTATGAAATCCCAGCCAGCGATTTTGGTAATTCACACATAATAACTTTAATCAGCTTTGTAACCCAATAAAGTCAGATTTTTCAGCGAGAATATTTACTATAGCCATGTATAATTCTTTGCAAAAATGTAACTGTTTTTCTATTGATTAACAATACTGACACTTATGAACAACAGAACTTCCAGTTGAGCACTTCTTTTTTTCAGTGTGAGAAAGCACTGGCTATATACATTCTTGATTTTTAAGTATACACACTCATACAAACTACTGTTGGAGCACACCAGAGGCGGAAAACCACAAGAGCTTTCCTTCTCTAAAGGGGGGAAGTGTCAGAGTCGACAAGGCCTCTCTTACACAATATGTAAACGATAGTATATCCGAGGTAAACCATGTAGGAACTCAAATGGCAAACCGAAGAGCTCTCGATTCGAGTCACGAAGAGGATTATTCACTGGCAAGATCCTAAAAGTCTTCTTCCCTACAGTGCCGTGATGTTGAGCAGAGTCCAGAAAATGATGAACAGTGTTGAAACAGCGAATGGCAGTCGGTCAGTCGGCGAGTCGGTCGGTCGGCGAGTCGGTCGGGTTGATCAGAGATACAAAAAAGCAAAGCCACAGCCAAACCACACTGCTTGTGCCACTGTTAGAAATTGGAGAAACTGGACGATAATAATAAAATACCATCATTTTGTCACAATTAAAGGCATTTGGAAGTTTTTTGTTTTTTTCCCCACACATTCGCTCTTCTTCTTCTTCTCTGATGTCGTCTTCTTTTTTTTCCCCCCCGATACAGTATAGAAACAGTAGAACAAATCAGAGTAGAGTAGAAACAGGCAGTCTTTGGTGGGGTGGGGGGCCGCTCGTATGTCTCTGTTACCTGCCCCCCACCTCGCTCAGTGTCATAAAGTGGATGTTGGAGGGGCAGTCAGACAGCTCCGGCTGCTGCTCTATAGGCAGGGAGTAGTAGCCGTCGTAACCCTGAACGCGTCCCCCGGACAGCAGCTGCTGCTTCTCAACCTCGCTCCACGCCCTGCTCCCGGCGTCTCCCGCTTCCACCCTCCTTCTCTCCTTCTCCCAAGCTCCCTCCACTGCCCTCTTCCTCGCCTCCTCCCTCACCCGCGCCCTTTCCTCCTCCTCGCTCCCGCCGTACCGCACGCACAGGCACAGAGACCCCTGCTGGAGAGTGATGTCGGCAAAACGCCGAGTCCTGCCGTTCACCGTCGCGCTCATTTGAGACACGCTCACGTTCACGCCGCTCTCCAGGACGCGGCCCCCGACTCCCAGCCCCAGGGCGAGGTCTTCCTCGATCGGCCGCGACTGGAGGAAGTGGTGGGTGTCGCAGCCGTGCACGGTGAAGCTCATCCCAGTTAGGTGGATGGCGCCGTTCAAGATGGCCGCGACTCGGCGGCTGTCCTCGCTGGCCACTCCGATGACCTCCGCGCTCACTCGGCCGTGAGAGACTGCAAAGCGGATGCTGGGGCCGAGGATGGAGGGTCGGGAGCCAAAGGGAGGGGGGTGCGTCGGTCGGTGGCAGGTGGAGCCCACGGGCTCAGAGACCAGAGGTAACCTCTCCAGGGAGATGAAACTTCTCAGCTGGCGCCGCAGCTCGCACTGGATTCCCAAAACCAACTAGAGAAAAACAGACGGAGTCATTTATTACAGCGTTCTGCATGACGTACAGAAACACACGATCCACACTAGATATTTAGACACGTAGAAAACCCGAAGCACTTTGAGAGGCAAACCTCCACCAAGACACATCACTGTCTGGGCAACTTTTAAAAAATACCATCATATTTTATTTGCAGTTTGCGTGGCTCCTTTTAAACCGACTTTAGGAAGTTTGGAAATGCAGTAAAAACAAGTGCAAAGTGCTTTTTATTTTATCTGTTGTGTTGAAAACCATTTTAATATACTTCACATACTTTGGAGTATATTTATTATTTTTTTATTACATTTTATTGTTCAGTAAATTCCTTTTTAATATTTAGTAACAAAAAAAATTTTTTTGATCACACATTTATTAAAAACATAAAATAAAAAATTTAATAAAGGGTTATGGATTGTTGCTCTAATGTACAGGACAAAATTAACAAACTATTCTCAAAAAGTATGACATCATGTTCTGGTCAGAGTGAAAACGTATTGTCATTTTACAGAAATTTACAATTTTAAAGAAATGTGCACTGATGTGTCATCACACTGACAACATGTGGCAGACGGTGCTATAGGCAGTAGCTTCACACTGGCTAGCTGCCCGAGCACTAGAGTGCCTTTAACACTACTGATAATGTCTATTAGACATCAGCAAAGAAAATCAGATAAGGCTACTCGGATTACACAAACATTATGTAGGAGGAGGTCATGGATACTAAAGTACTAATGTAAATAACTGGACATGAATAAGCTGAACTGAAATATTTTTTTAAAGATGTAACACATTTAAAATCCTCACATATCTTTTCTTATATGACGATATGGTGTCAATAAAAACAACGGCAGTAGGAAACATAGTTTTATTAAATAGCTAACATAAAAAGCTATATAGCATAGTTATGCTTGACCTTCAGATCAATTTGGAGGTCAAATATAACCTTACAAGGTACTTTCTATATGTTGAGAATACCCATCACACCATTATTCTTACATTTTTAAGAATAATAGTTTCTATCTTATAAGGATTTTCTCATTAAGTTGACCTTGAAGTTCTCGGTGGATGTAAGAAAAATTTTAATGTGTCTCTGACAGGAAGACAAAACGCCCATTTACATCAACCAGCTTAAAACCCACCAGTCAACACAACATGCGTGTGTTTGGACTGCAGAAGTAAAGACATGCATGAACAGGAAGAAGGTGGCCCAGCTTTAAACCCGCAAGGTTTGAATACAGAAGCTGCAGGGTGGCTGTGGCCTTACCACGCTGTGCACAACGCTATAAAACAGAGACACTGGGACCCTCAAACGCTTGTGCCAATTTACCTTAACGACAATCAGTCTATGAACTAATTAGTAAATCAACTAATCATTTCATTACTCGTACTCATTCTGGAGAATATTCTCATAATAATCAACTCAGTGTTGATTTTCATCCATATAGGCGATTACGAAGAATCACTAAGGTCATAAAAATGGCAGATAATTAGCAGGTAATTTGAGTTTTCATGCTTCTGCGGAGGACTCTCAGTCTGATCTCACACGAAGACCCAAAGTGTTAAACGAATGAGATAATATCAAATAAGTATGAGTAATTATCAAAGTGTTAATCACAAGCACTGACATAGGCTGTCTCACACAAACACACACACATCATATATATATATATATATATATATATATATATATATATGTGTGTGTGACATATCTTCATGAAAAATATTGTTTCGCAGTCACATTAAAGACCCTAATACATTTGAAAAAATGTTATACATATAGTTTAAATATACAAAGCATTACCACAGGCACACAGTGTTAGATATGAAAGAATCTAGCAGTGGTGTGATGCTCACCTTGCTGGAGTCCCAGTCCTGCATCTTGGTCGGCGCCTTCATCAGTTCGTATGTTTGTTCCATTCTTCCCACCTCAGGCTTTGGGAAACCGGGGACCACGTTATGAAGTTGAAAGCCAAACAGCTGCAGCCAGCTACCGATGTCTGGACAGGAAGAAGGAAAATTGTACGGAGGGAGAAAGTTTAGAATTTAATGTGTATACTGCAAAGCAAACAGACAGTCATGAGGGCAGGGAAAACAACACCTCGTATGGGAAACCACACAATGCATGAGTGCAGCGTGCGGCAGAGACGGGTCTGCTGGTGTGCGCGTGTG